TTATCCCTCGACGCTGCTGTTGCATTTGTTTGGTGCGTATTATATCCTGAACTTTTGTTTATGCACTCATACGCATGGACAAGAATGAGCCTGCAATACACACAGCCTTCCGCTTAGCCCGTACGAATACCCAGTCATGTAGTTGGAATGTATTTATGTTTTCCTATACATGGTCGAGAGAGGCTCTACACTACACACGTCCTTCCGCACATGGCCTTCATCTCAACATCTCCCTTTCTATATCCATCTGCAGACTACTGCCTCCAACATCGTGGAAGCGTCTGGCAGACACAAATTAGCCATTGCCACGGACATGACTGATATTTGCACCGCCGCGCAGACTCCCGACTCCGGACTACCCATAGGTATGTTTAAATCAGCGTTGTTTGATAGGAATTATTTCTTAATTAGGTGGTTCGGTAAAATTGCGTGGTTTTATAAATAGTATTGTATAGACAGAGTTGAGTTCGTTGATTCATTGTGTGCAGTATCTCCGCATCCGAACCGCCGCCCAGACTCCCGACTCTAAACTACCCATAGATACTTTTCCTTTGTGCTCTGTTCTATTTATAGTGTTCTATAAATATAATTTATTGAATAGATATCTGTTGCACCTATTGAGCAGCACCTCCGCAGAAACACCCGACTCAGGTATGCTATGTTCTATTTTTAGACTATAAAAGTGCTTGGGCCTGTCTTCGTTACACACATCGGGAACGTGCAGAATTTGTTCGTGGGTTTACACCCTGATTATTTTTGGCCCATTCAGACGAAACGTGTTTGCCTTGTTCTCAGTGTAGCCCTATAATTCAACGAGCGTTCACTGTGATATCGCAATCAAATTGAATCGCATTCTGATTAATTAAAATAAAATATATATTCTAATTAATTTGAGACAAGTTCTCTTTACTTCGAATTTCATAATATTCTAAATTATTTGAGTCAAGTTTTAACTATATAATAATGAGAATTCAATTCAAATTATAGTTAATTTGAATTGAATTCTTAATATTATAAAATTATTTGGGTAAAATAATATTCCAATTAATTTGAAATTAAGTATCTTCTAATTAATTTGAAAAGCATTCTATTGTCAATTCAATAGTGTTCTAATCAATTTGAATCACACCATAATAAACTTAAATTTGATTATATTTCAATTACATCAAATCACATTCTCATTAAAGGCACCCGCAGGATTCATCTTCGTGTTCATCGCCGCTGTTTCGTCGGCAACGTGTTTGTGGACTGGTTGATGAAGCAGGTAGGTGTCCACCACAGTGCTGGGTGGATTTGATATTGGCGTGATATGATAATTTTTCACCGTACACTGTATAACTATTCTATCTCGTTGGTTGAGATAACATAGCGTAGTTTAAAGTATCGAGAGAGAATACCACGGTTCGTGGACAATGTGTCTACAGGCTGAATGATGAATAAGTTTAGTATCACAGAGTGTAGTGTATTTGACACAATGAAGTGTTGGCTCCTCAACATACACAAGTATATCTATTCAATCTAGATGATTGATATAACGTACTGGAACGTACAATCAAAAATTGTCGCAATATGAGAAGATTCTAGCAGATCAGTGCTGTTCGAAAGCACAATGTTCGTAGTCTGGTCCATATACCAGGCGTGTATCGCCCAATGTTGTGTAGTGATATTTTATTCATATCCATGACTTTGAATTTATCTATTTCCCTTGTTCTAAAATTAGGTCGCATCCGTGCTCACTCGCGAGGATGCGGTGAAGCTGGCCCAAGCGCTGATGGATGCGAAGTTGGTGAGCTCAACCACTTCAGGACAGACGGAGTTCAGAAACGACTACAGTTTTTACCGCTTCAAAGACAGCAGCCCCAAGGACAATGTTAAAGTAAGTTCCTTTCTAGTTTATTTATATA